GACCCTGTCTCCAAACAAACAATGAAAATGACCTTTGAAATGGCTGGTAAGAAGGCTCAGTGGGTAAAGATGCTTTCAGCAAAAGCCTGATGACCTGAGTTCGACTCCTGTGACCCGCATGGTAGAAAGAGAAAACTAACTCCTGGAAGTTGTCCTCCACATGTGATTGGCATGTGCTTCCCCCAACCCAAATAGGCTAATAAACAAAAACAATAGCAAAACAATTAGGCTATCTCTTAGAAATAGGCAGAGCTTGTGATTTAAGACAAAAGCAGGGGCTGCAGAGCTGGTTCAGCATTTAAGAGCACTTCTTGCTTTTGCAAAGGACCCAAGTTCAATTCCCAGCCCCCACAGGCTTACAACTGTCTGTAACTCCAAAGGATCCAAGACCCACTTCTGACCTTTGTGAGGCACCAGACACAGGAGTGGTACACATACATGCATGCAGACAAAACTCTTAAGTAAAAAAAATTATTATTTTATTTTAGATTTGTTTTTTTGAGACAGGGTTTCTCTATGTAGCCCTGGCTGTCCTGGAGCTCTCTCTGTAGACCAAGCTGGCCTTGAACTCAGAAATCCTCCCTCCTTCCTCTGCCTCCCAAGTGCTGGGATTAAAAGTGTGTGCTGCCACCACCCAGTGAAAAGATGTTTATTTTTATTTGTGGTAGCAAGGTGGCTGAAAGGCACTTGCCACCAAACCTGGCAACCTGAGTTTGATCCCTGGACCCATGTGATGGAAGGTGAGAACAGATTCCTACATGTTGCCGCCCACCCCAAAATAAATGTAATAAAAATTAAGCTGTTTCTTGCTAAGGATAATAGCACAGGCCTGTGTCGCAGCTATTTGGGAGAGGACCTTAGAGAATCACTTGAGACCAGGGATTTGGAAGTAGGCTGGACTCTCAGAGGTTAAGAGCACCTGCTGCTCTTCTAGAGCACCTACCTGGGTTCGATTCCTGGCATCCCTATGGCACTTCAAAACTGGGGATCAGATGTCCTTTTCTGGCTTCTCTAGGTACTGGTTTTGTGGTGGACAAACATACATGAAGCAAAACACTCATTGTACACATAAACAATTTAAATTTAAGAAGGTGTGGGGGCTACTGGGTATGTTCTCAGTAGTGGTGTAGGCACTTAGCATAGGGAAGGCCCTGAGTTCTAGAACAAGCGGAACCCTCTACCAGTTCGGCATCTTCAGTGGCTGGAAAGGAAGTAAAAGGAAGACATTAGTTCACCGGAAGTGTAAGTAGCACATTTGGGATGTTACTATTTCTCTAGCATTTCCAGCAAAGCAAACTTGCTGCAGTGTGGACTGTCTTCCAGTCACACAAAGGGAGTACAGAGCTGTTTCCAGGCAGGACACCAAGGAGGACACCGATATGTCGGTTTGCTAACGGTTCCCTGGTGTATCAGGAGTTGATGTTGCTAGCCAGAGCTCCCACACCCTGGGGGAAGTATGCCCTTAGGAAGCGTGTGTTGAAACTCTCAGGGGGCCTCCTAGAGCACCTGTTCTCACGTGCACATACCTACACACACACACACACACACACACACACACACACACGGACACGGACACGGACACACGGACACACTGACACGGACACGGACACAATTTTAAATGATAATTAAAATAAATCTTTAAGAAAATCTCTTGGACTAGATGTACACACCTTTAATGCCAGCACTTGGGAGGCTGGGACAGACAGATGACAGGTGGCTCTCTGTGAGGCTTCGAGATAAGAAACACCTTTTAGCAGGCCTGGTGACACACACCTGTAATCCCAGCTGACTCTGGGATGAAGACAGGACTGTGATACAGTCAGACCCTGCCAGACTCGGGGGAAGAAGGGAAGGAGGCAGGAGTCCTTGGAAAACACCGACAGGTAAAATCAGCGGAAGGAAGTGCAGGGAGTTTCATCGTAAGTGTTTGGCTTTCGAAGCTGGCGCCATGGTCAGAATCTCAAAGGCGGTTTTGCTCTGTTTTCCACTTGGCTGGAGTTGAGGTTGATGGCATCACAATCCTTGCTTTGAGCTCCACCACAGCCCCTGTCTCTCAGCAGCTCCTGGTGGGAATTCTGATGCCTTGAAATCAAACTCCACAGCCCACCAGACCCTTCTCCCACTGACCCCATGGCTTCTCCTGCACTTTCCAAGATATCCCAGATGGAAGCTTGCATATTATCATTGCTACCTGTTTCCTCCCCAGTCAGTGACGAACGTCAATTGGATAATTAGCTGTTCAGTCCTGTCCATGTCATCTCCTAAATATTTCACGAGTCTAGTCTTCTTTGTCTGTCTGTCTGTCTGTCTGCCTGCCTGTCTGTCTAATTTTTCGAGGCAGGGTTTCTCTGTGTACTTTTGGTGCCTGTCCTGGATCTCACTCTGTAGACCAGGCTGGCCTCGAACTCACAGAGATCCGTCTGGCTCTGCCTCCCGAGAGCTGGGATTAAAGGCGCGCGCCACTGCAGCATTTCTACTGCAACCACCACTGGCTCAGTAAGCACTCTTAACTACTGAGCCATCTCTCCAGCCCCACTACCCCTTTCTTCCTTCAGTGCTGGAGATCATTTAGCACCTTGGGAAGGTTTACTCCAAAGTGTGCCATAGAGAGATCTGCCTTTCAGAAAGATCAGTAGAGCTGTAGAGCAAAAGAGAAGGGACTAAAAGGGACTGACATCAAGGGAACTCACCAGGTGGTTGTTTCGTTAAGTAAAATGTGGTCCTGGTGACAGTCTGATAACTGCCAATATCCTGAGTCCCAGTGTGTCATTCAACTCCTGTACCTTGATGAGGTAAATATTCTAGCCATAACTTGCCATTTGAGGATGGGAAACTGGAAGAAAAATGCTAAGTAATTGCCCAAGTCATGCGGTTATCAGTGGCAGTAGACAAAGGCTTGATAGCCAGGCATGGTGGTGTATGACTTTAATCCCAGTCCTCGGGAGACAGACCCAGGAGGATCTCTGTGAGTTCGAGGCCATCCTGGTCTATAGAGCGAGACCCAGGAAAGGCGCAAAGCTACACAGAGAAACCCTGTCTCGAAAAACTTAAAAAAACAGAAAAGAAAAGAAAAAGAAACCCTATCTCAAAAAACCAAAGAGAGAGAGAGAGAGAGAGAGAGAGAGAGAGAGAGAGAGAGAGAGAATGCTCTTGCAGCTTCTGGTCTCAGTACCCACACTGGGTTACTGGCATCCACATCAGATAGCTCACAACCACGTGTAACTTCAGTTCTAGAGAATTCAATGTCCTCCGGCGTCCACATGTGCTGCATTCATATGGTGCAAATAAGCTCACGAAGGAGGCACACATATATACTATAATAAGTCAATGTTTTTCTTTAAGTTAAAAAGCGGAGTGGAGGAAAGCCTGGTGATGGAGCACTTGCCGAGCATTTGTGGAGATTGGAGTTCACCCCTCGGCACTGCAAATACAAAAATGAAAATTAAAATAAAGCCTTTGCAGTTGAGCATGGGGTCACATCCTTTAATCCCAGTGCTGAGAAGGCAGAGGCAGGTGGATCTCTGTGAGTCCAGGGCCAGCCTGGTCTGCATAGAGAGTTCCAGGACAGCCAGGGCTACATAGTGATACATCAAGAAAAAAAAATCAAATAAAGCAAAGCCTTTGCATGTTAGGGTGGAAGAGAAGACCTAGCAGTTGTGTGCTGGCTGCTCTAACAGAGAACCTGAGTTCAGCTTCGGGCTCACACAGGCATGCATGCGTGCATGCATACACATATACACACACACACACACACACACACACAAATACAAATAAAAACAAATCTAAACAAACAAAGCCCCTTTCTTCAATGCTTCCCGTAGCCAGCTCCAGACAGTGAAGCTCCTCCCCAGTGCCTGAGGAGGTGGCCGATTGCCCATGCCTCCCAGCACTTGAGTAACTAACTACAGCTGCTGCTGTCCACTCTCTCTGGCTGGCTGGCTTTAGCCCTTTTCAGGTTTCCGTCTCGACTTCTTCCAGAAAACTGGACCGTGTGCTTCTTTTCCGATTTTCCTGGGTTGAGCACAAGTGTTTATCCCTGTTCCTCGAAGAGGACGTCACTGTCTGCTCCTTCTCTCCATCCCTTTCTTTTCCTCCCTTTCCTTCCCTCTCCCTTCCCCCTCTTCCTTCCTTCCTTTCTTTTGACAGAGCCTCTCTGTGTAGCCCAGGCTGACCTTGTACTCCTGATTCTCCTGTGTCTGCTTCCCAAGTGCCGGGATTACAGCTGTGCACCACCATGCTCAACAACGCTGTGCCCTTGCATCTTCAGGCCTTAGGGAATGTTTGGCCTGCAGTAGGCAGGTAGCAAATACTTCTTCGATGGCTAAGAGAGGATTTTACATTTGTATGGTGACTTAGTTCTGCTTTATCACCACACCAAACTAATCTTGAAAGAACTGTGGGGTATTTGTCATTGGAATATTAGGGAGGGACTTGTGCAAGAGCTCCCTGTGGTGATACACTGTGTCCCCCAATATATTGTGTACCCTGATAAACTTATCTGGGGATCAGAGGACAGAGCCAGCCACCAGATTAGACATAGAGGCCAGACAGCGGTGGCACACACCTTTAATCCTTTCACTTGGGAGTTCAAGGCCACACTGGGAGCAGAATCAGGCAGTGGCGGCACACGCCTTTAATCCCAGCACTTGAGATCTCACGTCTTTGCTTGGGAAGCACACACACCTTTAATCTCAGGAAGTGACATGGCTGGGTGGAGAACAGTATATAAGACGTGAGGACACAGGAACTAAGAGCAGTTCAACTGAGACCCTCAGGGGTGAGGACTCGAGGCTTTCAGTCTGAGGATTCGTGGAAATGGGATCGGCTGAGGAGTTGGCGAGCTGAGGTTGGCTGTGGCTTGTTCTGTCTCTCTAATCTTTCAGCCTTTACCCCAATATCTGGATCTGTATTTTTCCTTCCTTCCTTCCTTCCTTCCTTCCTTCCTTCCTTCCTTCCTTCCTTCCTTCCTTCCTCCCTCCCTCCCTCCCTCCCTCCCTCCCTTCGTTCTTTCATTCCTTTTTTAAAAATAAGACAGTTTAGCAATTCATGTCACAATTCAGCACATTTGACCCTTTGCCAGCTTGATACACAAACATATCACTGTTAAGCCACAACCTGTCCCTTCTCATTCATCCCCAATAGTTCACATTAAAACCATAAATAATGGCGCACGGCGGGCAAGCCCCATGGAGGTGTACAAGCAGGTCCAGAAGGGCCCCCTGAAGTTGAAAGGCGTTGCAGAGCTCGGCGTGATGAAGAAGAAGAAGGACAAAGACAAGGCCAAGCTGCTGGAGGCCATGGGGACGAGTAAGAAGATCGAGGAGAAGGAGGAGAAGAGGCACTGCCTGGACAAGCGCACGCCGGCACAGGTGGCCTTCGGGAAGATGCAGGAGAAGCGGCAGATGGAAAGAATCCTGAAGAAGGCATCCAAAACCCATAAGCAGAGAGTGGAGGACTTCAACCGACACCTGGACACACTCACCGAGCACTATGACATTCCTAAAGTCAGCTGGACCAAGTGACCTCCCCCGTGTGAAAGACAGGCCATGTCGGCTGTGTCGTGCCGCTTGGTGTTTTCTAGAATGTTCTACAGCTGCCAGTGCATCTGCTGAAACCAGGCTTTCTGAAACTTGACCAAAGTCAGGCTGTCTTTTAAAAATATATAAATAAATAGTTTTAAAAGTCCACAGTCGGGGGCTGGAGAGATGGCTCAGAGGTTAAGAGCACCGAATGTTCTTCCAGAGGTCCTGAGTTTAATTCCCAGCAACCACATGGAGTTCACAAACATCTGTAATGAGATCTGGCACCCTTTTCTGTGTACATAATAAATAAATAAATAAATCTTTTTTTAAAAAAGTCCACAGTCTTTACAAATTTAAACACATTAAAAATTCAGTCCCACCAGGTATGGTGGCACAGCCTTTAATCTCAGTACTCAGGAGTTAGAGGCAGTAGATCTCTGAGTTCCAGGCCAGCTTGGTCCGTAAGAGTGAGCTCCAGAATAGCCAATGACTACACAAAGAAACTCTTATCTTGAAAAAGACAAAACAAGAAACAGAAGTTCAGTCCCTTTAAAATATCCCCCCCTCTTGTTTTTGTTTGTTTGTTTTTTTCCCAGACAGGGTTTCTCTGTAGTTTTGGTGCCTGTCCTGGATCTCGCTCTGTAGGCCAGGCTGGCCTTGAACTCACAGAGATCTGCCGGCACTGCTTCCCAAGTGCTGGAATTAAAGGCGTGCACCACCACCGCCCGTCCCAATATCTCTTTTAAAAGTTCAAAATCTCTCAACTATGGGCTCTTATAAAAATCACAATTAAGCCTGGTCTTCTGGGCTCTTCCAAAGGGGTCGGGTCACTCCTCAGGCTCCACCCTCTGCAGCACACACGAATCTGGCTGGCTCCACTCCCTTGGTACTGACATTTCCACAGTGCTGACGTCTCTGCTGCAACTGGGCTACACTTTGACTAACAGCCTCTCTTCAGTTCTTTTCCTGGTGCCAAGCCTCAACCTCTCTTCATGACCTCGTCAGTCGTGGGGCTTCAACTGCTACTGAGGCTGCACCTTTACCACTGGCCTTTCACAGTGGCTCTCCATGACCCCTTCATGCCTTCAAAACCAGTGCCGCCTGGGTGACTCTCACACATCATCAAGTTTGGCTGCCGGCATGAGGTACAGCCTTGGCTGTGTCTAGAACACAGCTCCTCTGTGCTCTCAGGAAACACTTCCCAGATTTCACCTGAATGGTGCTAGTGTCTTCTTGATCACTGCCAATTTCTTAGTTCCCACCACCCAGCATTAAGTATCCCAGCAAAGCAAACTTTTCTCTTTAGTAGTTCTTGTTAATCACAGCTGATTCTTCAACCCCAGCCAACCAGAACCACAGAATCTTAATTCAAAATAATAAATGGCCCCCATAGAGTCTTTAAACTTCCCTCTGAAACTTCACAAGCCAGGCCTCCATCTTCTGCACTGCCCTCAACATTCTTATCGTCCAAGCTCCTAAACAACAGCTCGCTGAGCTCTCAACACTCAGTGACTTACCTAGCCCAGAGTTCTGCAGTCTTCCCCCAGACACCATGGTCAGGTCTGTCACAACAATACTCCACTTAGGATACCAACTTGTCTTGGTCAGGTTTACATTTGCTGTGATGAAACATCATGACCAAAGCAATTGGGCAGGAAAAGGCTTTGTTTTGCTTACACTTCCGCATTATAGTCCATCAGTCAAGGAAGTCAGGACAGGAACTCAAACTGGGAAGGAGTCTGGAGGTAGAAGGTGATGCAGAGGCCGTGGAGGGGTGCTGCTTCCTGGCTTGCTCCTCATGGTTTCCTCAACCTGATTTCTTACAGAACCCGGGACCACCATCCCAGGGGTGGCATCACCTACAATGCACAGCACCCTCCCACATCAATCACTAATTAAGAAAATTCTTAAAACTAAAATTAAATTATTAAAATTAAAACCTTAGTCAAGTGGTGGTGGTGGTGCAAACCTTTAATCCCAGCACTCGGGAGGCAGAGGCAGGTGCATCTCTGAGAGTTCAAGGCCAGCCTGGTCTACAGAGTGAGTTCCAGGAAAGGCGCAAAGCTACACAGAGAAACCCCGTCTTGAAAAACAAAAAAATAAAAATAAAAATAAAACTTTATAGGCTTGCCCACAGCCCTTTTTTTTTTTTTTTTTTTCCCCGAGACAGGGTTTCTCTGTGTAGTTTTGGTACCTGTCCTGGATCTCGCTTGTAGACCAGGCTGGCTTCAAACCTACAGAGACCCCCCTGTCTCTGCCTCCTAAGTGTTGGGATTAAAGGTGTGCGCCACCACCACCACCACCACCATCACCACCTGGCCAGAGCCCAGTCTTAAGGAGGTCTTTTCCTAATTGAGGTTCCGTCCTCCCAGATGACTTTAGCTTGTGTCAAGTTGACATAAAATTATCCAGCACGCTGTATTTGGAGAGTTGACAAGAATTTGGTCAGTGTTTAAATTCTTCAAGTCCAGTGCATAAACCAGTGGTTGCTTCTACTTAGTGGAGGATCCAGATTCCTTTAGGAATTTAATGAAAGTTTTGGGTCATCTGTATTTTTATTGATTTTTGAGAGTTTTTAAAAAAAAAATATTTTGTGGATATGAGCTTTTTAAACAGGTATTTGATTTGTGAATATTTTCACCAGTCTTTAACTTGCCTTTTCATATTTTCTATCTACCTATTATCTATTATCTATCTGTCTGTCTCTCCTCTCTCAGCAGCATGATGTGATCTCAAACTCTCAATCCTCCTGTCCTTCCATCCCAATTGCTGGGGTTACAGATGCATGCCAATATGTATGGCTTTGATAGGATTTTTATCCAAGATTCTCATTCCTGATTTGGTAGCTACGAATAAAAGTTTTATCTTCTGGCTGGGTGGTGATGGTGCTCACCTTTAATCCCAGCACTTGGGAGGCAGAGGCAGGTGGATCTCTCTGAGTTTGAAGCCAGCCTACTCTACAAAGTTTCAGGACAGAGCTACATAGAAACCCTATCTAGAAAAAAATACCCACAAAACAGACAAATAAAAAAAGTCCATCTTCTGATTCAGGCAAGGGAGAGAAGAAGCATGCTTTCTGCACTCACTCCTGCATGGACATATCCTCTTTTTACCGTTTCTCCCATAGACCTCCATTCTCACTCAAACCACATATAGCCATATATATATATATATATATATATATATATATATATATATATATATTATGTTCCAACGCCATGTGCCCATACACAGTCAACTCTTAGCCCCCTACTTCTATATCACAGTCTTTAACTGCCCAGAACCTTGCAATCCTATGCCCAATTAAACAGCCCACTTCAAAGTCTTGTCTCCACATCCACATCTGCTTGAGGGCAGATCAATCTGCCTGTGCGTACCTTGAGAGATTGTGGGGAGATGGACGGAGCTTGGAGCTGCGCACTGCACACCACACATGGATATGAGGACACCCCTGGAAGAGCAGAATCCAGTGACAATGGGAGAAGAAGGGGCAGGCCTCCATTTAAGTCAGTGGTTCTCAACCTATGGGTCGTGACCCTTGGGGGGGGTTGAACAACCCTTTCACAGGGGTAACCTAAGACCATCAGAAAACATATATATATTTACATTATGACTCATAACCGTAGCAAAATTACAGTTATGAAGTAGCAATGAAAGTAGCTGGGGCTGGAGAGATGGCTCAGTGGTTAAGAGTGTGGTTAAGAGCACGGACTGCTCTTCCAGAGGACCTGGGTTCAAGTCCTAGCACCCACATGGCAGTTCACAACTGTCTGTAATTCCAAGATCTGATACCCTCACACAGTCGTATGTGCAGCAAAACACCAGTGCAAATAAAATAAAAATAAATAAATTATATTTAAAAAAAAGAAAGTAAACTTTATGGTTGGTGGGGGGTGGTCACCACAACATGAGGAACTGTATTAAAGGAAGGTTGAGAACCACAGGTTTAGAGTCATGCCTCAGTCCTGGTCCAGGCTCACTACTGTATGTTTTCATGAGAGACTTATTTGATAAAGAGTCAGAACCTTGAGACCCAGATTATGGAGGCCTGTGGTTTATTGTACAGTTTACTATGCTATTGTAGAATAGAACATACAATGCCAGGTGGCGGCGCACGCCTTTAATCCCAGCACTCGGGAGGCAGAGCCAGGCGGATCTCTGTGAGTTTGAGACCAGCCTGGGCTACAGAATGAGATCCAGGACAGGCTCCAAAGCTACACAGAGAAACCCTTTCTCAAAAAACAAAACAAAAGAATAGAACATACAAAGAAAGGCAGTGTAGGATGGAGAGAAAGACCACAAGATGCTCTCCTTACTTTCATAGGCTCCAGACAGGCACATGGTACACAGGCATACAGGCAGGCAAAACACCCATACACATAAAATAAACTGGAGAAGACAAAGATTTGGGCTTTATTGAGCTTATATTTTGGTGGTGAGTTGGGCAAATATATTCATGTCCTATGAAGAAATCAAGGCATATCAAGTGGTAGAAATGAAGAAAATTGAAGGGGGGGTGGGAACTGATTTTATAGGTTATGGGAAATGTCTCTAAAGAGGTGCTTTTTGGGGTGCGGGCATAAATCAGTGGTAGAATAGTTGCCTAGCACATGCAAAGCTCTGGAATGGATCCTTAGGTTTGCAAACAAGCAAACAACGGCTGATCTCTGAGCAGAGTTCAGAATGAGTGTGTGAGCGACCTGGGAGAAGGAGCTGAGCAGAGGTGGCTGAACTCAGGGGTGAAGGGGTTGAACGGTGGGGGCAAAAGTTAGGTTTTTTTTTTTTGTTTGTTTTTTTGTTTTTTTTTTTTACAATTGTTTTATTTTTGTTGTTGTTTATTTTGAGACAGGGTCTCACACTGTAGCTTGAGCTAGCCTTGGAACTCAATGTGTGTAGCCCAAGCTGGCCTAGAACTTCCTATGGTTCTCCTTCTGTAGCATTCCAAGTGTTGGGATTACAGCTTTGTGTGCATTCATGGGGTTAGAGACTAGTTGTTGAGTTGAAGTATGAATTCAAAGCTCAGGACCAGATAGAGATAAAGAGACGTGGAAATTGGGCATGGTGGCACATGCTGGTTATCCCTGTGCTTGGGAGGTTGAGACAAGAGGATTGCCAGCCTTGGGCTACATAGTGAGATCTTGTCACACACACACACACACACA